CAACAAATTTTTAGACGAAAAATGTAAATTTACTATCTGCGTCTATCTGCCGAATTGTCTATCATCTGAATCTATAGCTCTGTACCAAACTATATCAAATTCTGAACAGCTGTTCTAGAGATGAGATGGATCAAATTGTTTTTCTCAATTCATATATTATTAGTAAAGATTTCGAGCCGTCTAAATGCTGTTATTTATCTTTTTACTATATGCAAGATACATTAACCGGATAAGTGTTGTAAGTGATTGTCTATGATTGCATGTAATTAAGTAGGTAGGTACTATGGACCCAACACGTGTTGTTCAAAGCGTAATCAAAGAAACATCTTATTGTTAAGAGTTAGAATTGAAAATTGAATGTGAATTTTGACGATATAGGATAATATTGATTCGTCTCACAAACCACCACGTGTATTACACATATTTTTATTAAGAAAACAACATGTTCTATTTTAGTAAAAGAACTCTTGTTTTTAAAGGCTAAGTTACTCACTTAACTTTGGAAAATTGGGAACTTCGATCAGTTGTTTTAGTACAGGATCGCAGGATACAGTTAATTCACCAAACCCAAAGCGAACGCCGGCGTTCGCGCATCTATTGTTCTTCTATTGCGTCTTTAATTGAAAGATTAGTCTTAAACTTTATCCTTGTAAAACAGTCAAGTCGAAGCGTTATAATCCATATTTCTTTTGGTATCAGCAGAAACGAGAAAATGGTTTCAGACCGGTATCATAGGCTAGTCAGGTAGAAAATATTTATTTATTATTATTTATTATTGGAACGAGCACCCAGCTTCACTGACGAACAGACTGACAGACTACTAATCTATTTTGACCTTTCAAAAGTACCTATTTATGGTTTAGTTGGAATAAATGATTTTGATTTGATTTGATTTTAGTAATTTTTTTTTAATTCTTATACAAATCTGTTTAAATTGACTGCACAGTTGGCACTGCGAATGTGCTATTCTTTGTGTGATCCACAATTTGTTGTTCCATCCACGACACAGGAGAAAATCCTATTGTAGGAAGGTTTTTTTTAAATAATCTCGTGCTTCAGTATTAACAGTTATGTAGTTAAAGGAAGTTAATATTGACTCAGTAAATTATATTTATCGTTTTTAACTAAGTCATAGCCTTTAGGAACCATGAATGGGATCAAAGGCCAAATAGATACCTGTCTTAGAACTGAATCAATATTACTTTCGTACTAGAATAGCAAAAAACTGTAAAGAATTTAGGTACATATTTATTTGTATATCGTCAACATACTCAATAATTATGGACTTGCTAATTAATTGACCAGGTCAGTACTACTCAAAAACACGATTATTTTAAATATTTATCAAAAAACCGTGTAACACAGTTTTAGTGTAAATAGTCAAGTTAGTTTAAAACAGTACTGTTTACCGTTTCGTTCAGAAACAGTTAAGAAGTGTGAAACATGAAATGAGATGAAATCATCCATATTTGGTTGGTCCTAATGATTTTCGTGTTACTTTCTAGAAAAATTGAAAGTGTTACAAGTCTTTCTTTCAGTTGAAATGTTCTGACAATTTGAAAGAATTATGCATACCTATAGATGGGCGAATAAGCAGAAAGGTCACCTGGTTGGAAGTTTACCCATGCCCAAGTTCCTTTTATAAGTTTACATCGAAAGGTCGTCTGGAAGAAATCGCTTTGTGTGATAAGACTGCACATCCTTCACAGAACATTACGTGTTCAATAAAGTACATATAAATCAATAACGAAATTGTTAGCGTCAACCATGGACTCCTGTGGCAATAAAGGAGTTCTTTACAACTGCTGCAAGCATTATTGATCCTCCTTTACCCTCATTCTTACAGTAAAACACCACACATTTTTGCACAGTTTCTATTCGATATTTTCTTAATTGAGTATTTTGTAGCTTTAATATCAAAAACATTGTGCAATCGTTGCTTTAGTCTTATAAACAGACTTGACACCATCCACGTTCGCATTTACATTTCGTACGTAATGGTGAGTCAGAATACAGGAGATCTCATTTTGAAGCAATGCTTTTCCTTGTATGCAAATCGCCGATTTAATTTACTTTAAAAGACGAAAATTTATCTTGTAGAACCCCTGAATCAGTTTAGCGTAAAGCGAGAAACTGGGAGTATACATTAATCGGTCACCATTGGCGAAGAAATATAACAGACCATTTGCTACACTAGCGCCATTCGCAACACGAAAATATTGAAACATCCTGATCAGTTTTATATTTGCCGGTAATACGAGTAAGGACAAAATTCTAAATACAATAGTAGTGTCACTTCTATGTAAACAAGTCATGTGATTAATTTTTGCATATTCCAATGATTTTGTTTGAGGAAAACTTTGATGATACATTATTTCTATGTTAAAATATTTCAAATATAAAGTAATCTTGTCAAAGTTAGTAATAAACACAATAAGAATATAAAATCTTTATTTTCAATAGTAATCCGAATTGTTTATTCGATAGAAAAAAAGGAAACTTCAATAACAAGACTCTTGCATAACCTTTAAACGCGTATTTTCCTAATCATGTAAAGTCCTCTGCATAATTACATTGCTTAAACTGCGACTTAACGAATCCACAAATGATATTATTTTAAACCAGGAATTTTACACCGCAAGTATTGGATAAACTATATTTTTAATTATATTTTAATGACATGTTGTGACAAATACCCCCCAATATTAAGAGCGCGTGTCAATTCTGTCATTATTTAAAAATTAAAATGTCATTTGCGAGGCTGCAATAAATATTTAGTGATTTGAGGTATTTTATATCCTATCTTTATCTGTATACGGATCAATTTATAATTAAAGAATAAGAATATAACTAGCAAATTACTTAAAAGACGTATGAATGTGAGAAAGTAATACTATTGTATGATTTCTACGCTCATATTCATAATAGTCATATTTTCAAATTATGCATACATAATCCCATAACAAAGAACATTTTGCTAGCAACAGAAACCAATACCTAAACTACAAAAGCAGCCCCGGGTGAATGCACTTTATAGTATTCGAAACAAAAAAATCGATACTCGACTCGTTCCTCACCTATCACTTAGTCGATTATGTAGTATAATAACAAGGTTATCGATTCAAATCGATTTAGAAATGTAAGTAAAAAACATCGAGACGTCTTAAATCGAGATCAATCACTGCTATTATGACGTAATGCATAAATTAAAAAGATAGAAGTCTTAAGAGGTCGGACTGGATGTAGAACTTGTCTAGATTTTTGACCTTTGGGAAGGCACACGACCTGTTTCAGACAAGATTTTATTATTAGATACAATTGAGTATACACGTGTATCGCCAGGACTTTGTTTTTTTTACCATTTATACATTGCGCTGTGCGCTCTATCGATTTTTGTCCACAACCAAAATATTACGATACACTTGTTTTTATTATCGTTGTGGGTTTAACATTACGAATATCATATAGTGTAGAGGAAATAATGATCGGTGATCCAATGAATGAATATTTTTCCGACATTTATTAGGATATCTGAATGGGATTATATGCATGTCAGATGTCGATATAGAAACCTGTCTGAGTGACATAAAGGTCTTGGACATGACCTTAGATCTATCCTTAGATGTACTGAAAGGACGAGGCTATGCGCTTCATACAAACTTACATGCATTATTTAGATTTGAAAAAAGTTCTAGAATTACTTAGCAATCTGTTTATGCAATGAGGTACATTTTAAAATTAAATTAGTTGCCTAGTGGTTGGAGAGGAATTCATAGTCAATTCATACAAACATTGGAGAAAAAATTCTGATAAGGAGTAAAACAAAAGTTAGTACCATGTCTTTAAGTACTCGGTTATTTCAAATACATGTTAACATGTCTTGTTTACACAACTTCTAAAATTCGCTATCCAAGCAAAAAAAATATTATAAATGCGAAAGTAACTCTGTCTGTCTTTTCTTGAGGCCTAATCTACTGAACCTTTTTGTGTCAAGTTTGGAACTCCAGAAAGGACATAGAATAGTTTTTAAATTTAAAGATTTAATTATGTTTACATAGTTATGATTGCAAAATGTTTGTAAAATTATAAGATTAGCCAAAATATATCGTACAATGACCTATATATGTACAAACTTAGTTAAAAAAAACTGATAGGAAAAAAATTAACGATTTTGAACCATAATGACAAGAAAACTACACATGCTGTACACATGTGGCGATTTTTTGCACTTCCTGATAAGGGTCAAGTAGAATTTAGCTGTAGAAATAAATAAGGGAAAAATGTTCACAGAAATATTTACGTTCCGATCTTATGACATTACAATTAGTACTTAGTACTAGTATTTATTTAAATGTCAAGCAATTTATTGATAGTTTCAAAAGTTAACAGCAATGGACAACCAATAAAACCCATTACGATCACTAACATAATAAGAAGGTGAAAAAACCTGTTCGGAGAGACACATAAAAAATGGAGAGGTAATTTCTGTGTGTACAAGGCACGACTTTGACATTTGCATTAATTAGTTACTTTAAAAATATTATTAGTATTAAATTGGCGAAACATTGCAACATGATTTTAGGATGTTAGATGACGAAATCATCGTTAAATGTTTTTTTCGTAAGTAAACAATCGTTCTAATTAAAGTGGGTTATCATAAAAATGGAACAATCAGCTGTTGTTTTAGTCCGTTCCGAATCGGATTTAGGCCAATCAAGTAAAATTCTTAAAGAATATTCGTATGTTAGTTAATTAGGTACAAACTGCACAATAGATATAAATCGTTTGCTTAACTTCTCGTGTTAGAATCAGACAATTATACCAATTAACAGCTACAGAAAAACCATCACGTAAATTGCGTAAAACCAGTGTATAAAATTCTTACCGTTTTATGTGGTTACGGACCATAAAAATCGAAATAAATTTAAGTGTAAAGAGTAAGTAGCATGTTCTTCATTGTTGGCAGTAAGTATAAATAAATATATTTAAGTTGGACTTACCTTTATTGTCTCCGTGCAGGGTTTTGACGGAGGGTGCGAGGCCGAAGGGGGCCTTCGGTACGATCGCTGCACCCTTATTTTTTTCAAAGAGAGCTTTGCGTTCCCTCAATGACATTTCGGCGGGGTCCTTCGCCTTCGGGCTGCCCGCCTCGAACATCGCCGCCTTAGACAACACAGAACTCCTGTCAACACTGCCGTTTATTTTCGGAGCCAACCTTTTGACCAGCGGCGACCCCATCTCCGGCGCCGGCTTGTCGTCCGCCGGTTCCGGTTTTGTTTGTTTACAATCATCACTTGCGTCATTTTCCTTGTCGAGTTGCACTGCATTCTCTTTGTCTTTTTCACTTTCACATTCATCTTCCGTGATAACATTCCGCGGCGGCGTGGGCGCTCTGTATTTCTTGATCGAGGGCTTTTTTGTAACGGCCGTGTTGGCGGGCGACGGGGCCACCATTGTAGCCATGTTGGGGGCTGAAGCGGCACTGGGGGTAGTCGATGCACACTTCGGCTCCTGTCGGTCGGGATCGGCGGTTTTCGTGGTGAATTCGTAGACGAGCCGCGATTGGCTGGCAGAAACTCGCCGGTAACCCTCGCCCTCCTACGATTGGACAACGGCCGCGTAACGCGAGGGGTGAGCACGTGCTTGCATATCGTTTATTGATACGGTTTATAACAGCCGCTAAGTTCGCGCGGTTAGTTTAACTGGGTTAGGTTAGCGTTAAAAGGGCGCACGGTGAAGTTGCATCACGTCTGTCGGAAGGTTGCGTAAGGCGCTGAGGGTAATATAATTGTTGGTATGACGCAGATAATGAAATAAATAGTTTTCCGAGTTGAATGAACGTGAATAGCGTGTGAGTGAGGTGGCGGGGTCGTGTGTGCGCGCGTGAGTCCCGTGTGCCGAGCTTCAACTGACTGGCTGCGGAGGGCCGCCACCGCCACACGTTGGCCCAGCTGATAATTATATTTTGACGCATCGCGTTGTTTGATGCGCTTTGTGTTATTATAATTATTGAGGAAATATGTATCATTATTTCGGGTACATGTCACGCTGTATGAAATTATTTATTTTTTACCTTTGTATGTACGCATTGATATGATCGCGTTTGGTCTGTGGCGGTGATCATTAGAGCATCAATTTGTCATTCGACAATGTGAGAATTCATAACTACACAAGTATTCGTGTTTACAGAACACAAGGCCAGCTTCGAAAAGGTTTTGGCAGTTGATAAAACTACTTAATCCTCAAGTTACCGTGAACAATTGGAATTGCTAACTGCGATACAAAGAACTTAAAATGCTCAATTTAATTGGAAACTCATTTAACATTATCGTTTTGAACAAAGATAACATTTATACGGTTGTGCTGCAGCCGTTTTGCGGAAGACCAGCTCGTGGCGGAAGAGCTAATGACACGACAATTATACAGAAATATCGTTGCAAGCGCCAACAGAGAAAAAAACTTGACATTTCTGCATAAAATTGTGTGTCTCATTTAAAATGTGCAATCAAAAAGGTTCAAATAAAAAAAATATATGAATTCGTCACAGAAACAGACAAACCAAACGGTAAATATTGGAGCCTAAACACAACAGATATTAACAAATCAATTTTTCATCTAAAACAAGGAAAATTATTTATTACGTAATAATTACAAGAAGCGCTAATGGAATATACGATTCATACTAAGAAGAACAAAAAATATATTGTGTAAAAACTAATAGCAAAACAAAAATAAACTAGTATATTATTTTGTTTAAATCAGTAGCAATTTGTAGACAAAACATAAGTGCAGTTTGTACATTAAATAGATATTCGTCTAATGGAAACTGGAAGGAAAAAGTAAATTTTTGATACCTATTAGTTACTTATGTCAAAGACGTAGAAAGATCGAGAGATTTTGAATCTAGACCGGTTACTTATTTTAGTCATAAGTGACATAAGTAGAATAACACATCGCTACTGTCAATATCTAAGAAGGTTTCTTTCTCGTTTGAAAGTAAGAATTTTAACTAATCAAAATAAAGCCACAAATTTACAGAATGAAACGCATGAACTGTAAGCTTGCCTACAAAAAGGCATGTCTGAAAATTAAAAGAACCAAAAGCAAAAACTATGAGCTTCCAAAAAAAAAAACAAAAAATTACGACATAGTCCCTTGAATTCTGAGAGACTACATCATCATCATCATCATCATCTTGCAACGTCCTACTGTTGGTTCAAAGACCAACAACACGAAGAAGGACTGATCATGAATCGCTCCCATTGCCCTAAACAGTTTTAATATTAACGGGATACGCTTAACAGTCTCCAAAAGAGCCGTCTGTCCAGAAAATATTAAATGTCATGCCACTAAACTGATCAGTGCCTATTAACCAATCCCTATTATTTAAGTTTGGGTGGCTGCCGAAATTGTGATAGACATTCCCCTTGCGGTCAATGACATTAGAACTAGCTACTGTTATGTAGTTCAATATAATTGGGGAGGGAGACGTGAAAACTAACTAAGAAACTTGTTGTCTTAAAACTATTTTTAGCTATTTTCATTGAAACAGACGGACATGTTTGGAGCGAGGAACTCTTGGCTAAGGTGGATGCGGTAAGACGGCATACATTATACATATGTAATCTGACTATACTAGTGGAAATCACTTGGACTGCACGGTTGGTGCACTAGTTGGGACACTGGTTGCTGTGCAACGGGTCGCGGGTTCCATTCCCGCACTGAGCAACACTGTGTAATCCATAAATTATTGATTCGGGTCTATGTGGCATGTGAATGTTTGTAAAGGCACACATGACATGACACGTGTGCAAGGTTTTGTTAAAAAAAACACGCTTTAATAATTTGGAGAAAAATATATACACATCTTGAAACTCCTACAAAGTTCGTAAAGTCAGAAGATGGCTTAGTAATAAATTCAATCTCCCAAAAACACATAATAAGATACGGTAATCTTTGTATAGCGCCTTTTAACACAAAAATTAGATCAAAATCAAGCTATTAAGGCTGCCGTGTTACAACTCATACATAAGAGTTACGAGAATTTGCAATTAAGATTTTTTGCCGTGCATAATTACAACACTTGGATTATTAAGTCCTCGTAATTACATCACTTGAGCGTAACAAAATGACGAATGACTTCATTGCATCCTTTTCAATACTAAATTAGATGTTGTAAATTAATAATTATTTTTAGGCAACATAGCTTTTCCAAAATTGCTTTTTCAGACCTTTTACTTATAGGTAAACAACAAACAATCACTGCAAAATGAAGTTCGATGCACCCAAGCAATCAATCTTATAAAGCTTTTACAGAAAAACGCGATCCGAGCGGACCGGTAAATAATACGCAAAAACTTAGTTCAACAAACTTCTATAAGCCATTTGAGAAGACCCCATTCTAAGTAACATTTTATTGCAAGCAGAGCTCTTGTTTTTTGGTCTTTGTGTAGAAAAGTGATGGTGTTGTAACAATGATGCAATTGTATTAAAACGAATCTATTGCGACACAATAGTCGCTGCGATTAATCGGTATCGGGGGTGTAAAAAGACAGTTAATCCACACTGTTTAATGCTTTTGAGATTTATGATGTGTGGGCTTTTTTTACTGTTTACGATAAACACATGGCGGTGATCTGGGAACTTCGATTATTTTTCCCCCGTTTTACTTTAGTTTTGATTGCTAGTTTAGTTTTCTATAGCCCTACGTTAACCTCAATCTTTTTCGACAGACTGGCCGTACACTCCTTCGAGAAATACAAATAAAAATCTCTTTCTTTTGTATGCAGAGAAATTTTACTAATATTTCAACCATTGCTTAGTGCTGTTTTTGTCTTCAGAATATAGGTAGGGTCTGATTAAAGTAAACATTAAATATTTTTAAGTACGTACTAAGTAAGTAAGTCTTGAATAGCGAAAAAGATTGCAGACATTTTGCAATTTAATCTAAAGTTCGTCGCAAAAAGTATATTCTGTATTCTTATTGTGAGTCCGATTCGGGTCAGCTTTACTTTTTTTTTAAGGGATAGGGCAGCATATCAACGTAAGGATCATGTTGTAGAAAGCAATCTGCGCCACCGAAACCCTCAACACCAGGGAAGTTACAAGGACTTTGCCGAAGTTTCAGAGAGTTAAAGCCCTTGAGGAGGAGGCCTTTTTTCGAATTCATAATAATATGATCTTATACTTATCACTGCCCATTCAAATAACTTGATCCTTTTTTCGTGAAGGGAAAATCATCAAATGACTTCTCTTGCCAAGGGTGAGGCGAGAGGGAGTGTCAGACTCTTACTGACTAAAAGCCCCCGTTCGTACGTCGCACCTAATTGCACTAGCCCCACAATCCCGGCTGTAGTAACTTGCCCTTAAAAATATATTCTGTTAAAAAAAAGAAACCCCTTAAATAAAGAATGGAATTAAAAATAAAACAATTAGCATGGCAACTACGAACCCTGTGCTTACAAAGCGTTACTGATCAAGTGGCAAGTTCCTGTATTTTCTGAGAATTTCTTAGTATTGAATTACCTCTGCTGATAACGAGCCTGCGTATTTAAGTTAGACCTTATAAATAACACGTGCAGAACTAATCAATACTTTTATTGGAACCAGGAAGAATGAGTAGTAGTGATTTTGTCGCTTTATATTTGTTTATTTGTGTGTGTGAATATTTTGATGGCTAATCTCTATACATAATTAGACTTCGGGGAACATTAGAGGTAGAATTCAAATCTATAAGTATGGTACTTTGAGACTGGCTGTAAAATATCTACAGATTGTAATAGTATTGTTCTAGTCACTGACAAACAAGGTATCAAATTAGAAATGCCATTGATTTCTAGTTGGCTAAAGTAACGTAAATACATCTGTAGTTTGCCAGGCCTTCTCAATTCTGCGCGAAAAGTCATATTTTGATAAAACTCAAAAGTTTTAAGTGTGGGTATAACCATACCAATCTTTTCTGATTGAATCTCCTGTCAAATCAAACAATATGCCACTACACTACTACTACTACTAGTACCCTATATTGTCCACAGTCCAAAAAATATTTATTACAAAAGCGCGATAAAACGAAACGGTGTGTTCGAAAATTAAATGAGTTTCAAACCCAGTCATGTGGCAACACAACCACAAAACAAACAAACAAACCTATCCCGTATAACTGTTACGCGGAAACGTAAACGAACGGACATGATGACATTTTAACCGTGGCAACATTGAGATGCGTATTTATATTGCATACGAAACTCCTGCGCATAAATACGAACAGGTAGGAGAGGTATAGAAATAGATTTCGTTTCCGTTAATTATGAAACATTATGTGTGATGGGGATATCTAAGTTACTATAGAGAGGTAAAATTTGTAATTGATATGTAGGGGGTAACCTTTGAAACCTCTGGTCGGATTAAGAAAATTCTTTCACTGATAAATAGCTACAATGTTCCTGAATGCTATAGGCTATAAAACATCACGCTACAATCTACAGGAGCCGAGCTGCGAGTGAAACCGCGTGTTAGTAACCAGTCTTAAATACATCAAGAGAGATAGAATTGACTGGCCGACATTTACTATTATATTTATATATTACGTTATTTATTTT